TGCCTGAACCCGGGAGGTGGAGGTTGCGGTGAGCCGAGATCGCGCCCCTCCCCCCCGGCCGGGGAAAAAAAAGAAAAAACCCCCAAAAAAAAAAAAAAAAAAAAAAAAAAAGACATGAGCTCAAATATAATTAATAAAATTAATATTTTACTGCTTCAACAAGAACATTCTATTATTTTTTAATTTACCCATTTTACAGATGAAAAGGACTTTCTTTTTTTTCTTTTTTTGGGACGGAGTTTCGCTCTTGTTACCCAGGCTTGAGTGCAATGGCGCGATCTCGGCTCACCGCAACCTCCGCCTCCTGGGTTCAGGCAATTCTCCTGCCTCAGCCTCCTGAGTAGCTGGGATTACAGGCACGCACCACCATGCCCAGCTAATTTTTTTTTGTATTTTTAGTAGAGACGGGGTTTCACCGTGTTGACCAGGATGGTCTCGATCTCTTGACCTCGTGATCCACCCGCCTCGGCCTCCCAAAGTGCTGGGATTACAGGCTTGAGCCACCGCGCCCGGCAGGACTTTCTTAAGTGAAAATGAATCGGCAGTGAAGAATACGACTCCTAGTACAGTTTAGTGCCACTTTCTTGATTGATGCGAAGGCCCACAGTTGCTTTTGCATTATTAGCACAAATGTCAACACAGTGAAAAAGGCAAACAAAATCTTACTGTTGGCCAGGTGCGCTGTAATCCTGGCAGTTTGGGAGGCCGAGACAGGTGAATCACTTGAGGTCAGGAGTTCGAGACCAGCCTGACCAACTTGGTGAAAGCCCCGTCTCTACTAAAAATACAAAAATTAGCGAGGTGTGGTGCCATGCGCCTGTAATCTCAGCTCCTCAGGAGGCTGAGGCAGGAGAATTGCTTGAACTCGGGAGGTGGAGGTTGCAGTGAGCTGAGATCGTGCACCACTGCACTCCAACCTGGTTAACAGAGCAAGACTCTGTCTCAAAAATAATAATAATCTTGCTGGACATGGAGGCTCATGCCCATAATCCCAGCACTTTGGGAGGCTGAGGCCGGTGGATCACTTGAGGTCAGGAGTCTGAGACCAGGCTGGCTAACACAGTGAAATGCCATTTCTACCAAAAATACAAAAAATTAGCCGGGCATGGTGGTGCGTGCCTATAATCTCAGCTACTCGGGAGACTGAGGCAGGAGAATTGCTTGAACCCAGGAAGCAGAGGTTGCAGTGAGCTGAGATCATTGCACTCCAGCTCAGCAAACAAGGACAAAACTCCATCTCAAAAAAAAAAAAAAATATATATATATATATATATACATATATACAGTATATATATGTGTGTGTGTATATATATGTTTGTGTTGTTATGAAAGAGTTCCTGGGAACCTCCATGGGTCACCAGACCACACTTCAAGAACTGATATGTTATCCATTTTTCTGTTGGGATTTTCAGTTTTTTCTTACTAAGAACTCTCTTTTTAAATTATTAAATTCAGATTAACCCTAGATTCCACATATGATGAAACTATTATATTGGAGGGGTGCTGCTGGGGAAATAGGTGTATG